TTTTTTTTTTTTTTTTTTTTTTTATAATTTAACTAACTGAGTGCTAAATGTCTGTTGTGATGTTTAATATGTAATATGTATTTTAATATGTAAAAGTGCTTTGGTTATATTAAATGGCTTTTTTATTTAACCATAATAATGATTGTTTTATTGTAACTGTCACATCTTGGCATTTAATTGCCTTTATATTATTCAGACTTCAGTTGCCGGAGTGATGCACAATGACTGCAGGGTAAATTTCCATCTCCACTGTACCCTTATTCTTTATGCCTTTTGTAGTGCCCTTCCAACTGTACATGTATGCCCGCTACAGATTGGAATATCATTTAAGATGGCCAATTTCACAGTCAAATGGAACGTACCTCAGGAGTTTTTAATTGGTTCATCTGGAAAGAAGTAAAAAAAGTACCTGTTTGATACACTTAAGTTGATATGGTTAGTGACATCTTTGAAAGATATTCAGTTTTGTTTGAGGCTTTTGCATTATCATTTATGTTAATTTTTTCCACTCTAGTATTGTACATCTGGGATCACCTACTGTAGGAACAGTAAAAAACTGTTATTGCATGTCAATTCAAGTTTATTTATAATCAGAGGCGGACAGTAGTGAAGTATTTTTACTTTACTCAAGTAAATTTAAAAAGTATCTGTAGTTTATCCGAGTGTTTTTCTTGGAAAACTTTACTTCACTACATTCCAAAGCATAATGTCATACTTTTTACTGCACTTCATTTCATAAATAAAAGTTGTTGTTCGTTTTACCTTTAATACTTAAGAACATTAAAAATGTAGTACTTTCTTGTACTCAAGAAAATCTTTGAATTACTTTTACTTGAGTAAAATGTAAGAAAGCAACAGATTTCTAATGTAATTAAGTATTAAATTATATTTCATATGAAACGTAGTGCAGTAAAAAGTACAATATTATGCTTTGGAATGTTGTGAAGTAAAGTTTTCTAAAGAAAAACACTGAACCTGAAAAGTACTTTTACAGCAGAGTAAAAATTCTTCACTACTGTCCGCCTCTGTTTATAATGCACTTTATACAGTACAAATTGCTTAGCAGCTTTAGAAGTGGACAATTCTTGTCCCAAATTGAACAGAGGACCATGTTAGCAGTATGTTGGCTAAGCAATATGTATTTGCATTTTTGTGTAAAGTGTGTGTTTTCTGGATTTTCCTTGCCACATTGTATCGGGATTGTCACATCGTATTTGAGTTTTGC